CGTCCTGATTCTAGGGTGACACTTCAGGGGTGTGTGTGTGTGTGTGTGCACGCACACACACACACACACACACACACAGAGGTATATGTTTATTCTTTGAACATGCAGTTTCTCTGGGGGACATAATTTAAGTAACTCTGTTTGTGTTTGCAGACCTTGTCCTTTGATATGTGGATTAGGTCTGGATAATTTATTTGGGGGATTAAGAACATTTGAGAAAGGGATTTTCCCGTTTGCTATTTTTTACATAATTAATTTAGTTTCAGCTTGACTGTCAATTATCTAGTGGAGACACTGATTCTCAGACAATTGTGGATTCCGTTAATATTTTAAGGGAAGATGGAAAGAGTATAAAGAGTAAAATATATTTTGATATAAAATTTCTCACACACCTGTTAAACCTTCTGGTCTGCTTATTATCTGGCAACTGAATATTTTTCTTGCAGCCTTGCAGTATTATTATTGCCTTTCCCTTCCTGTTCTGTTTTTCCTTATTGATCACTATTCATCTTTGACCCAAGCTAATTTCTCTCAACCAGCTAAAACTGCCTGTTTTAGGTCTTTTTTGCTCAGAACATTTTCCAATTATCTAGCTTGTGCAGCCTCTCCCACTTTCCCTGTGCCAATTTCAAAGAAACTGGGGAAAGAACCAGCTCATAGTACATGGCAAATGTTGTTTGCATTGATTTTGTTGGTTTCTACACAAATCTATCTGAAGATTTTGTACTAATGGAATTTGACTCCCATAAGAATTCCATAAGAAATCAAGATAAATGTTGGATGAGTTATAGAGAAATATTCTTCCTGTTTTAGTGGATAATGAAAAAGTATCAGATTTTGGGGGGTATTTGATAAATTGAATGTTATGACTTAAGCAGAGAATTAAATTTTCAGAAAAATTGGGATTATTATGTAGATTTGATGAAGAGTATATGCCAGTGATGGTTAACCTTTTCGGCACTGAGTGCCTAAACTGGAGTGTGCGCGCATGCAAACAGAGGTTTCAGAGGCTGGAAAAAAAGCAAGGCACAGAGCTCACAACCAATGAACCTGTTGCTAAACTTTACCTCTGGGAACAGCTGATTGGGGGTATTCTGAGAGGCAGATCCACCAGCCAATCAGCTTTTTTCTTATTTTCCACCCCAAAAACTAAGGTGCGTCTTATACTCTGGTGAGTCTTTTACTCCGAAAAATATGGTATATGCTGGATTGAGTTCCTAGAATACAGGTTGCTAATGAATGCAATAAATATGATGTCCTCTAAGAATATCCAATCACACAGAGATTGTGCAGATTGGGGGGCCCATGTAACTGAACAGATTGATACTGAAAGGTTCAACTAATGTAAACATGTTATATTACAGTAGGTTATGTTGTTTATGTTATCTTTAAGCCTCTGGTGTTCTATTGGATTCTGAGCAGCATTTCTGCCCTTTGAATGCCAGGGTCCTAATTTAGATTTGCTTCTCTTCAGCATGAAGATGCAAAGTATAGAGGTGCTCTAAAAGTTACAGCACTGTGACTATGATAATGGCATATTTTGAAAAAATGGCGATAACAGGAAGGAAATTACACTTTAAATTACAAATACAATGTTATGTAAACTTTAATTAATACAAAGGATACCTCTCACACCATAGCAACTCAGGTTATCTGAACTTGAAATCTTAAGTGAGGGAAAAAGAAAGCCTAGTAAGGAAACATAAAAGTACCTCATTGAGGATTTGTTTAAACCAAAAAAGGAAAGTTGTAAGATGACTAAATATAAAAATTCATTGCACAGGGCACCAGAGCCTATATTTAAATAGATACTTAATTTATTTTTATTTATTTTTTTAATGGCTAAATTAAATGAATTTCAATTGTATAGTAAAAATAGTTTGCTAAAATATATATCTAAAAACTGCAGGAAATGTTTGATGAATGTGTTGGCCAAGAGAAGCATGGGTTCAACTATTATGTTTATGTTTATGTTTATGTTTTATTAAATTTGTATACCGCCCTACTCCCGAAGGACTCAGGGCGGTGAACAGGCACAGAATAAAATACAGAAATACAAAAGTTAGAAACAATTTAAAACCAAATTAAATAATTTAGCCCAAGACAATTAAAATCCCAATAATTTAAAACAAATTAAAATTTCAGTTTAAAAATTTAAAAGAAAGGGGAGAAAATTAGGCCAGGCCGGCTTGCTGGAATAGGAGGGTCTTAAGAGCATGGCGGAAAGTGCGCAGATCCGGGATCCTCCGTATCTCCGGGGGGGAGCTCGTTCCAGATAGTAGGTGGCCCCACAGAGAAGGCCCTCCCCCTGGGAGCCACCAGTCGACACTACTTGGCTGACGGCACCTGGAGGAGCCCCTCTCTATGAGACCGTACCGGCTGGTGGGAGGCTGTTTGTGGTAGTAGGCGGTCCCGTAAATAACCAGGTCCTAAGCCATGGAGCGCTCTAAAGATGGTAACCAAAACCTTGAAGCGCACCCGGAAGACCAACGGGAGCCAGTGCAGCTCGCGCAGGAGAGGTGTCACACGGGAGCGCCATGTTGCTCCCATAACCACCCGCGAGGCCGCACTCTGCGCCAGTTGGAGCCTCCGGGTGCTCCTCAAGGGGAGCCCCATGTAGAGAGCATTACAATAGTCCAGGTGGGAGGTGACGAGGGCATGAGTGACTGTGTGTAGGGAGTCCCAATCCAGAAAGGGACGCAACTGGCGAATCAGGCGAATCTGATGAAAAATCCTCCCGGTCACGGCCGTCAAGTGCTCTTCTAAAGACAGCCGTGAATCCAGGAGGATGCCCAAGTTGTGAGCCCTCTCCGTGGGGCCAGCGATTCGCCCCCAATAGTCAGTGATGGCGTCAACTGACTATATCGGGACGTCGGAAACCACAGCCACTAGGTCTTGGATGGGTTGAGCCTGAGCCTGTTCCTCCCCATCCAGATCCGCACGGCCTCCAGACACCGGGACATCACTTCAAGGGCATCGTTGGGGTGGTCCGGGGTGGAGATGTACAGCTGAGTATCTTCAGCGTACTGAAACCACCTGAAACCATGGATGATCTCGCCCAGCGGCTTTACATAAATGTTGAACAGAAGGGGTGAGAGGACCGACCCTTGTGGCACCCCACATGAGGGGCCTCGGGGTCGACCTCTGCCCCCGTCAACACAGACTGCAACCGGTCGGAGAGAAAGGAGGAGAACCACCGTAGTACAGTGCCCCCCACCCCTAACTCTTCCAACCGGTGCAGCATGATACCATGGTCGATGGTATCAAAAGCCGCTGAGAGATCTAATAGGACCAGGACAGAGGAGCAACCCCTGTCCCGAGCCCTCCAGAGATCATCGACCAACGCGACCAATGCCGTTTCCGTGCTGTACCCAGGCCTGAAGCCTGACTGGAACGGATCCAGATACGTCGTTTCATCCAGGTACTGGGGGAGCTATCGTGCAACCACACTCTCAACAACCTTCACCACAAAACGAAGGTTGGAGACTGGATGATAATTAGCCAACACTGTTGGGTCCAGGGAAGGCTTCTTGAGGAGAGGCCTCACCACCGCCTCTTTCAAGGCAGCGGGGAAGTCACCCTCACCCAATGAAGCATTTATAATCCCCTGGAGCCAGCCTCACGTCACCTCCTGGGAAGCCAGCACTAACCAGGAGGGGCACGGGTCCAATAAACAAGTGGTCGCGTTCAGTCTGCCCAGAATCCTGTCCACGTCCTCAGGGGTCACAGGATCAAACTCATCCCAGATAACATTCTCAAGACCTGCCCCAGTCCCTTCCCCTGAGACTATCCAGTCGGAGTCCAAATCTTCCCGGATCTGAGTGATTTTGTCATACAGATACTGAACAAAATCCTCGGCTCTACCCTCCAAGGGGTCCTCCCGCGCTTCCTGGTGGAGCAGGGAGCGGGTCACCCTATACAGGGCGGCCGGGCGGTTATCTGATGATGCAATAAGAGCAGCAAAATAGCTACATTTCGCTGCTTTTATCGCCACTAGGTAATTCCTAATATAAGATCTTACCAGTGTCCGGTCCGATTCTGAAAGACTGGGCCTCCAACTACTCTCTAGGTGTCTTTTCCGGCGCTTCAACTCCCTCAGCTCCTCAGTGAACCAAGGAGCCAAATGAGATTGGCGCCGGGTCAGAGGCCGCAAAGGCACGACCCAATCCAGAGCTCCAGCGGCCGCCCTATCCCAGGCGGCCATCAGGTCTCCAGCCGAGGCGTGTGCCAGAGCCTCAGGAAATGGCCCAAGCTCCATCTGGAACCTGTCAGGTTTCATCAGGCACCTGGGGCGGAACCATCTTACCGGCTCTGCCTCCCTGCGGCGGGGTGCAGCGGTTCGAAGGTCAAGACGAAGGAGAGAGTGAGAGGAGATAATACTATCAATTATTAATAGACATGCACTTCTCTAATAGTAACAGTACAGGTAATCCTTGACGTACGACCACAACTAAGCCCAAAATTTATGTTGTTAAGTGAGAAATTTGTTAAGTGAGACTTGCCCCATATTATGACTTTTCTTGCTATCTTTGTTAACTGAATCACTGCAATTGTTAAATTAGTAACACGGTTGTTAAGTGAATCTGGTTTTCCCATTGACTTGGCTTCTCAGAAGGTTGCAAAAGGTGATCACATGATGTTGCAACTGTCATAAATATGAGTCAGTTGTCAAATATCTGAACATAAACCATGTGACCATGGGGATGCTGCAATGGTCATAAGTGTGAAAAATTGTTATGTTTACTTTTTTCAGTGCCATTGTAACTTTGAATGGTCACTAATGAACTATTCATTGTAAGTTGAGGACTACCTTTATAGATTTCATATATTTTATTAATGATATATTTTATAGAGTATTCTTGCCTTCCTTGTGGATTTTTTAGGAAGCTTTGTGTGCAGCATAATATCAAGGAAATTTATTTTGTTTGCTGTTTAGCTTAGATAATAGTCACAGTTCATATAATGGTCTGAGCTCAAAATAATACCCTGCAACTTACTGATTTCTTGATTTAAGAAAGGTATTTTACTTGTGTTTCAATTCATACACAAAAACTGGTCACTAACAGTGCTTAAAAATATTAACACTACTCCACTTGTTCACAAATGTACAAAAAAATAATAGATTTACATTCAACTACTAAAGCTTAATGTCCACACTAGATAATAGTTGCATTGACATTTACATACATAAGCACAGAATAAATATTTTAGGATGCTTATAAGAGCATGTTGCATACATACAGTACTTTAATTTTACATAATAAGCAATAATTTGAAGGGTCAGAAATTCATAAAATCTTAGAGAAACTAAACCCAAGAAGATCATGTAGGCAAATACATCAAGACACTGAACAGAGCTAGCAGATTAGTAAAGTTGCTTGGTGAGAAAGAATTTTTTTCCACTTCCCCTGATTATTATTATTATTATTATCATTATTATTATCATTATTATTATTATTATTACAAAAGGAGTGTACTCAAAGTGCAGAATAAGGAAAGCAAAATGAGAGTAAGAAAATCTTGTATTTCTTTAATGCATGCAAGAGGCAGTCCCCATTCCCAATCTAGTGACCTGATATAATAAAGCGGTGATTGCCAGATATAATACAGTGTTTCAGGCATTTTTTCTAAAGCACTTTATTAGCAGCAATTATATTTTCTAATGGCTGTAAATTTACTTCGGTTTGGGAGTAAAGGACATAATATTTCTTCATTTACAGCGATTCTCCCTTTATAAATATATTAAATCACTAATAGCATGGATAAGACTACTTCCTTTTATATTTTTGCATATGTTTTATGGAAATACTCTGATATTTTCAGAGATGCTATGTGCAAAGGAATGTTAAATAGAGTGGAAACAAGGACATAAAGGAAACATCACAGTCATTTACATTCCTGAGATGTCAGCCCTTAATTCCTTTGTTAAACTCTGAGAGCTTGTCAGTATGGTGGTTTCATAACAGCCTTGGACAATGTCCCCAGAGGGACATTCAGTTATCTGGATTGTAGACACTTCTATCCACACAGCTGCACACAAGATGTGAATAAGGAATCCCCACTCTCCAAAGTTACTTATGTTTTTTTTTTCCAAGAGGGAGATTTTCCACACATCTTGTTTAGCTCTACAGTAGCGAGTCAAGGATATGGGAGGTTGCCATGCAGACGTTCCCTGAGGGACATCCTTGCTAGGAGATCAAAGGCCTTGTTGCGGCAATATGGTCAATGGCTTGGAAGCAGACATATCTCATGGTTTCTCATATGAGTTGTCTGAGTTAAACTTGTTTTTTTGCTGGAGTGTGCATATAAAATATAGAAAAGCTTGCGCTCACAACATACATGGATAAATCTGATGGAATACAAAATAATCACAAATTTAAAGTAGATCCCCGGGCACATTGATTTAACAAATAATTTGTTCATGTTTTGCGAGTGCTTTTGCATCATATTAACCTGACCTTGCATCACTTAGCCAGCCATCAGTGCACCGGAGTTTTCAATCAGCTACAAGGTGCACAATAACAAAACTGTTTAACTCTCCACTCCCATATATGTCATCAGGATAGGGTTACAGACTCCAATTTTGCTTGGGCTATGTTGTGAAAAAATTCTTTTCCAGAGGAGGAGAAAAGAAACAGATCTGCTTTTTTATAATCTGAAAATAAGCCAGGGTGGAGAAAAATAGTTAATGTCAGGTGTGATAAAGCTTTCAAGACAAAACCTGTCAAGCAAAAGACATTGTGAATTCCCTGCAGTATTTTTGAAGTCTTGCACATACAGAAAATTAGTTAACAGTAGGAAGAATTTGGGAGTTGCTACATGGGAGAGCTCTTCTAAATTGCAAAAATTGGCTAAATTGATTGTTCAGTATAAACCCTTCACTGATCACTGTTGTCAGTAGTGCTGTTGGTCTTTTCTTTTTTATCCTGAGCCTTGTTTCCCTTCTTTTTTTTCTTCTTTTTCTTGGTCTCTTCTTTCTTGCCAAAGGTTATGAAGTCACTTTTATCAGTTTGGCTATTTGGTGGATCTTGACGAATGGAGATGATGGCAGGAGATCCTGGGATAATGAATTTGTCTGGCAACTCACTTGGGCCTGGCTGCTTGGAATTGCCAGGCCCATATTTGAAAGTCCAGCTGTTGCTGTTCACACCAGCTCCCACTGGAGGGGACACTTCACCAGCTTCAGGTTCTAGGGGAAAAAATAAAATAAAATACAATAAAGCATTAAAATATTCAGCTAGAAATATATGCAGGTAACTTGCATCTGTTAGTATTATGTTCTAAGAATTATTTCAAATAAGGGTCAAAATGATGTTACAGGTACATATCAAGTTTTCACAGGTGGGATTTATCTTCTCTAATCAAAAGAAATCACATTTCCTTAATGTTTTTTCAAAACCCTGGAAATCTACAACTTGAATTGCCAAATTACAATTAAAAGTAACATTTTTAATTTTATATTTATATTGATTTTATATTGAAAAAAACCCACCTCATGCATCTATCAAATTGGATTCTAGCCCACAAAGGCTTGTGTCCAATAGGTTGAATATTATGGCACGTTAAAACTACCTCACAAAGATCAAAGCTGTTTCATTTGAATTATTAAGAGCTGCGGTGGTGCAGTGGTTAGAGTGCAGTACTGCAGGCTACTTCTGCTGACTGCTGGCTACCTGCAATTTGGCAGTTCAAATCTCACCAGTCTCAAGGTTGACTCAGCCTTCCATTCTTCCAAGGTTGGTAAAATGAGGACCCAAATTGTTGGGGGCAATATGCTGACTCAGTAAACCACTTAGAGAGGGCTGTAAAGCACTGTAAAACAGTATATAAATCTAAGTGCTATTGCTATTGCTATTATTTGTAATCTTACATAGCTGATTAGTTAGAAATCAAATCAATATAAAATGGAAGACTGAAATAAGTGCAATTATTTGCCTTAGCTCCTTGTGCTTGACAGACTTGGATTAAAACAAAAAGCTAAGTAGTTGGTCTATTGTTTATCATTAGGCTATAAATGGGGAGAAATTAATTCAGTTTGCATCTGTACATTTTGAACTAGTACATGATACAAACATGCTTTATTCCCCAGTGTTTATACTTCTCCAATTTTTGTGATGTGGTTCTCTGATTTTTTTAAAAATATACATGTATGCTATTTTGCTGGATTATAAGAATGGAGGGTGGGAATATACCATTATTCTGGCATATTGTATATAATTCCGCCCAGTGACATGAATGGTTGGGATGAGCAAGATGAGAGAAGAAAAATGGAGCCAAATGGAGACCCAAGAATGAATGAGAATGATGATTATGTGACAAGTATTCGCTTAGAAAAAGGAATATTTATTTCAAACAGTGGTTTAAGCATAGGTCTACTCAAACATACAAATAACAATGAAATGGAGATGAATCTAAAAACATGATTTATTTGATTGTTTTTAATAAAAGAATGAAAAGATACAAAGATGATGAGAGATTCTGAATGTAGGACAGATCATCTTTTGGGCTGTATGAAATGTGAGTCTTGTGGGATTAAAAAAGAACACAGAAGTAAAAAAAAGAATACTGTAAAAATAGAATGACTGCAGGAAGAGAAAATACAAGTCCTGTGTGTGGGAAAAAAATTGCAGAATGAATGAAAAGTGAAAAAGAAACATGGAAGCTGCATGGAACAGAGTGAAATGTGTGTTACAGAATTGCCACAAAACTACATGAATGTGCTAATGAGAAATAAGAAAAAGGATGGTTTTCTGATCGTTATAAAGACATGACTATAATATTTAAAAGTTTGCATTCCTCTTGTAAGAGCATAATTGTAACTAATTCCTCTGTAACTAAATATATTTCTTTTTGTGTTTTAATATGAATTTCTACAGAAATTCTTTTGTAATATAACATTTAATTTTTGCTAATATTACTTTCCAGAGTCCAGTGTTATTGAACTTGATGAAATTGCTCACAATAGCTGAGATCACTGCTCCTGCTTTTATGTGCCAACAACACAATTACTTTAGTATAATCTTTTTTAAGTGGCAGATTCTAGCTAACTACTTTATTCACAGAATCAGCAGAAAAGGTGAGGGAAGAAAGATAGGAGAAGGCAAGGAATAAAAAAAAAAACAGGATAGAAGATGAATAGATGTCGCAGAATAGATAGGCTCTATGAAAATGTAGTTTGTTAATTATTTGTTTTGAAAAAAGTACTAATTGGGCAAAAATGGGCAGCAAGACCTCTATGTCTTTTTGTGGCTACTTTATGCTACGTAGTTTCAATTTCTGCAGCCCAGCCTTGAAACCCCACCCTCAAGATGGCTGCTTATCAAAGAAAGAGCAAAGCATGAAGCAGAGGGTTAGCATTGCACGATTATGGGAACAATGCCAGAAATAGATTTTTTTCCCCTGCTGCTCTCCCTCCCTCCTGAATATATCTCTTGGGGATGGAACAGGGCATACACTTGTCATCTCTGCACAATCCTAAATCCAGTCTGTTATTTCCTAAATAAGGTGAGGCTGCAGCACAGAAATTCTGTTTCAGATCCCTCTGGTCTTCTATGAATACCTTTCTCTGTTAAAAAATTGAGCTTTTCAAAATCTGAAAGACTCAGGAACCATGTATGGTAACATTCCAAGCAGATATATTCTTTAGTTCATTGATTTTATTCCAGAATGCATGTCTCCACATCTTTTTTCAAGTCATTACATCGTATTCCCTTCTCTGTCTCTTATATTGTTGCTATAGCTCCAAGAGGCTATCACCTTCTTACCAAGCTACATCTAGAATTATATTAGGTAAAACCATAAACCATTTAAATATATGCCAATATAAAAGGCATTTTTAAATCACAGAGGCAGTGGTGAGCTGTCAGGAAATTGCAAGAACCTGATTTTCCTATCTTTTCATGTTATGCTGGTTGCTGTTTTTTCCTCTGGTTGATATGATGAATATTTATTGTTACAGAGAAGTCATATATTGTCTGCATTAATTCTGAAAAGCTTGCAGAGCATAAACATAGCTGGGAAATGTGTGTGTGGTACATGGGCAATATGCAAATCAGTGAATGACTTTCTCTGCAAATATTAAAATAGTCTGACTTTTTCTCTGACTTTTCTGGATTAAATTATCCATAAAAACTGGTTGCATATAAAAAAAGTAATAAACATTGCAATTGACAGAAAAGAAGCTAAACGTATTATGCTGCAATCTTATCACCCAGCCTTCCTAAAAAAGAGGAGCCTTTTTTTAAGCAGGTACTTTCTTCTCTGTTGTGATCTCATGTCTTGTTGCCTGAGTGACAGATGCCCTGAGGTCATATAGCTGTTTATGGGATTACAGAGAATTTATCCTCTGTAAACCATCTGGGTCAGCTTTCATGGCAAGGATGCCAAAGATTAGGGCCTGCCATCAGTTAGGTTTTTACTGTCCTCGGTGGGATGCTTCAAATAATATTTGAAATAGTATCTAGAATATTATGAAAATAATATTTCTGAACAGTTTCCAAGCCTCTCCTTACCTCATTCTCTCCAAACAAAATGTTCTGCTCATTATTTCATATTAGCAGCGTGCATTGGATTGGAATGCATTAGATTGGAATGAAGCTTAAGGTTCAAACTAGAGTGGCTTCTTTGGCACAGATTTTTATTAGGCATCATTCCATTTCAATTCTGCGGTTACAGAAAGGTCAGTTATTGTCAAGCTCTATATGGTGTTCAAAGAGGGGGAGAATACAAACTGAAAAGAAAAACAGTTTCTCTCAACCAAACCTTCTGAAATATCTGAATTATTGCTCACCCTAGGAAGCTATTATCATAGTAAATTCATTACACTCTGCTTAACAGTAATTATTACAACAGAGATTTAGATTAGACTTCTAAAGCAAGTGCTTCAATACTTCCATAATGATTACTTTATAATTTGAAGTACTTATTCTTTTCATATTATTTTATTTATATTCTGTCTTTATTATTTTCATAAATAGCTCAAAGCAGGGAGCATATCTCCTATTCCTTACTCCTATTTTTTTAACAAAAATGGGGGAGCTGAGAGTGACTGGCCCAAGATCATCCAGCCACTTTAGGGATTAGAACTTCAAGTTCTCTGGTTTCCAGCCTAGTGCCTTAAATGCTAGAACAAACTGGCTCTCTTATTTAGCAGAATTGGTCCCTTACAATTTGCTCTTTCCTGCAAATTTCATTCCATTATGATAAAAAAAACCCAGTCCCTGAATTTTTCCCATGAATAAATTAGATCTCTATAATACTTATCACTAAAGTCTCTAGGTAGGTAAATGAATTCTGCATCAGTACTGTTCAATATCTTCATAAATGATTTTGATGAGGAGATAGAAGGGGAACTTGTCAGATTTACAGATGACACCAGGCTAAGGGGAATTGCCAACATTTTAGAAGATAGACTCAAGAGAATCTAGACAGACTTGATCATTGGGTCCAATCCAACAAGATGCAATTCAGTGATGAGAAAGGTAAGGTCCTGCACTTAGATAGGAAAAATCAAACATACAGGTATAAAGCAGATGGTACCTGGCTCAGCAGTAATAACTGTGAAAGGGAAAGCCTCTCTAGGAGTCTCTGGAGGCTGGGGACAGCAAAAAATGTCACTTCCTGTCCAACTGGAAGTTGGGAAACGGGCTGTTTCTGGCCTCCGGAGGGCCTCCGAGGGGGTGGGGAAGGCCGTTTTCGCCCTCCACAGAATCATAGAGAGGCTCTGGAGCCAGATGAGAGAGAAAAATGGGCCTACCAGGCCATCGCGTGCCGGGAGCAGGGGGGGGGGGTCATGCGCATATGCACAGGGATGGGGCGCGTAGAATTATGGGTGTGGGCATGTGCGTGTGTGACCCCCCTGCAACCCCTACTGGCACATGATGGCAAAAAGGTTAGCCATCACTGGTCTAGCCTATCGAAGAGAAAGGTTGGTGTTACATGATAGCTGTCTTCTAGTACTTAAGAGGCTGCCTCCAAAGCACCTGAGGGTAGGACAAGAATAACAGATGTAAACCTATCAAGTAGAGATCCAACCTAGAACTAAGGAGATATTTCCTGATAGTGAGAACAATCAATCGGTGGAATGGCTTGTCTTCAGAAGTTATGGGTACTCCATCATTGGAGATTTTTAAGAAGAGATTGGACAGCCATTTTCCGGAATGGTATAGGTTCTCCTGCTTAAACAGAGGG